TGCACTCAGTCTCAAAATTCAGGAGAACTACTTCTGGTTTTGGGATTGACCCATCCACGAACCCTGCTTTATTCTTAAATTGAAGAGCATTCATAAAATTGCGTCTTCAAGTGAAATAGTTTTCTCCCTTTTCACTTAAAGGATGAGTAACAAAAATTAAACTGGGGTGATCAGAGGAGTGCAGATAGTAAGGTGATTTGATGTCAACCACAATGTTGTTTGATGTGACTGTAGTCGGCACCAAATTCCCATTACCTGTGTCTACTCCTTCCTCACCCCTATTAGCCATCTAGATATAGTGTAAGTTGTCTACAACCTCTACTCTGATACCATGAAGAGTTTGAATACTCTATCTGATGATTTTATTCATAAGGCACAGTGTGCTTAAATACAAGTGGTGATAGTGATACAAGGAAAGAAATATTTACAATAAATGGCTGCCTAAGATAAAGGCATTGGTTATGCCATGATTTAAAAAATCAATTACATTAGTTATGCTATTGACTAAGAAATCAATTAATCAATAATTATAGGATAATCTCAAGTCAAATCTCCTCCATTAAGGGCAAACAACGTTCTTTTGTTTCGAATGTTTTGTTTTGTAGCTGAGACAACTGCCAGATCCTTTTTCTGCAGTTAAGCTTTAATGCATTGCGATTTGTCAAACCCATTTTCATGCCAACAGGGAATTTCAAGCAATTACAACATTGACATATGGAATGTATGGCTATTAAAATCCATTGTCATATCGAATGTATGGCTAATAAAATCCATCTTTTAAAATAAAAAATTGAGACCTAAACTCAAAATACTGAGTTTCTATAAGGAGATACTGACAAATTATATTTTAAAAAACTGGCCACATTGTTTGAGTTTAATTAATCAAATTCTTAATGCCTCAACTAATTTCTCAAGTATTTACTTTTTTTTTTTTTTGCTACGACTACTGTTTTAGGTGACGAATTGATCTTTAATCAATGTGATTTTAAAGCATTTTGGATTTTATGATATACAAACTGTAACCTCATGCATGCTTTGAAACCTAAGAGTTGATTACATGCCAAATCGAAATTTTTTATCCCTATTAAGTATTCTGTTTGATTTTTTTTTTATAATTTTACATTATGTGTTCAAAAATCTTAACTTTTAAATTATAAATTATAAATCTAAAATCTTAAATTTTAATATGAAAAGTTTAAAAGATATATAATGTAAAATTATGAAAAAGACACCAAATGAATGCAAAAGATTTCTATTCTTATTTTCTTTTGATTCCTCTCCTACTTAACAACTTTAACCTTTAAAATATTTCGAGAAAAAGTAAAGCGAAACTTCCGAGATTTCAAAATAATGATTTTTATCTCAGCATGTGCTTGCCATTCCTCTATTGAAATAGAAAAGTGCCATCATCAATAATCAAATACATTTATAGGCTTGCTTCATATTTAAGTTGCTTGGAAAGCAACACAATTGATTTGCCACATATGGAAATGTCTTTATCCCTACCATAACCAAACACGAAGCATCATGTGACTTGCAAAAGCTTACACATGCACAAGTATATATATCTGCCTGGTAGTCTTCGTCTACCCTTTAGGTTTCTGTTGGTTGAGTGCAACTGATGCCGCACATTCATGGCAAAATTGCCCGTGATTCGAAGTAGGGTATAGCGCGGCTGTTTAATTACATAGCGGCCATGGCTAGGTTGTGCTCAGCTGTAAATGTATTATTTTTCTAGTATGTCAACCAAACCCTTTCTTCTTATCCATGTTTCCGCACTTGTCTTTTGCCTTCTTCTTTTATTATTCTTCTTCTTCTTCTTCTTTTTCAATTTTATAGTTCTTTTTTAAAATACTTTTCATTAGTATTTGTCAACATTCAACATCTATTGCAGGTGTATTACATCTTGCTATTTTTGGAACTAATTAATTTCAATTTTCCTGGGTTCCATATGGCTTCAATTAATTCTTCTGCAAGAAAAATGTGGTCCATATTAAGTGTGTGTATATATATAATATAATATAAGGTGAAAAAGAATAAATAGAAATTTTTCTTAAAGTTATTCATTAGGATAAAATACTTGACTTGTTTAAGTTTTGGTTGTGATTTCATGCGAGTTTATTAATTTTTAAAATAGACACTTCACCTCAAACATGTAAATAACATTAATACCTAAACGTGAAATATCTAAAATATTTTTTTTGAATTTTTTCTTTTCTTAGGCCAATCAACGACGTTTATTTACATTGGTCGGTCACCCCGCAACTAGATTTGATGGTTATTAGCTCCATAGGAGAGCGTTGATCATTTGGCTGATCTGTCACTCCCCGACTAGATCTAGTGGCGAGATGGCTAGCTAGTAGAGAATTTTTCTTTTTGAATAAAAGATAAAAAATTAAAAATTATAATTTATATAATGATAATTTTTAAAATTAATAAAAGATAAAATTATTTAAAAAGTATTACCACGTTATTAAATTAATAGAAACATTAACGATTAATTAATGATTGAATTTATGTGTTTGAAATGAACTGTTTATTTTCAATTCTAATAGACCCATAAAGAATTATGCTCAAAATTTTTAAAAAAATCACTTATTTTACCCTATTTATTAATATAATGAAGGGGATAACCCCATTTCAGACATGAAACCTATAATTAAAATGCTAAATCAAAGTTAGCATAATAACCATCAGATTTTCAATACCTGAAACATTAAAACAATGACACAACCACCCATTAGCAAAGTTGAATACAGCTTAAACCACAAAAAACACCTTTCCTGTTGGAAAGTAGCACTACTTACGGCCAAGTACATACACACATACCATAAATATTGCAAGTAATCGGTTTAGTGATAGCTTAACCGTAGAGGTTGAGAGCCTTGTCATCACCATTTACCAACCCATCTAGGAAAATTGAGAAAATCAACCAGTAGCACACATAAAAGACTAGTAAATTTCTATCCAAAATAAACTGTGAAAGAAACAAAAGCACCATCCTTAAATCGGAATTGATTTATATTTATAAGAGCATTATCGGCAACTGAGCAATAATTTTTTAAGATTGAAGATGAAAGCCAAGGATGAGTAACTGTCATATTTATTAATATTTTTTTAAATTATTCCCATCTTATAATTACTTTAAATTTTTGAAAAATGTCAACTTTTATTTATCGCGAAACACACCACGATTCAAAATTATGATAAAATTCACATCGCATGTTAAAAAGAATAAATTTTATTATTCATCATAAAATAAGAAAGAGAAATAGGGTTAAACTTTTCATTAACAATTTTATGTACTAGGGTAAAAAAATAGATGGAACCCTACATACATTAAATGAGTAACATGGGAAGGATCTATATGAATATATATTTGAGGCTTTGAGTGTATAGTAAATAAAGGTCATTAAATACCCATATGTTTATAACTCATAAATAATCTGAGCTACTCCTTGTTTGAATTTATTTATTTATTTATTACAACTGATTAATAAATGAAAAAGAGATGACACTGTTTAACGCCCAGAATTTTGTAGGATTTGAATGGGTCTATAAATTAGCAACAGGCATACATCAAAATCCAACTGCCAACTAGACAGAAGGAAGGGTTGTAGACCATGAGCCTGAGACCTGGATGGGTCATATTTCAGACAAGATGAGGCCTGGTGAGTCCAGTGATTTGATGATTTTGTTCAGCAGAGTCATGCAGTTAGGCCCTGGAATTTTCCCTCTATTGGACCCTGCGTCTATGGACTTTGAATGAAAAACCCAAAACCTCCTTTGCTTCGGCTAAATTAAAGCAGCTGTCCATAGATCGGGATAGATTTAGATAGCATGTATGAAATTTAGAATTGAGTTTGGCTCGTTTATATAAATTTTATTTTTAATTCAAATATTTCAAGATTTTGTAAACATACTTAAGAATTAAAATTAAATAAAGATAATAATATGATAATATAATATTTTTATATATTCAAATCGAACAAATTTTATTTAAAATTAGAGATGAATTAGACTAAATCTAAATATCACCAATGTCACATTAATAAGAAATGAAATGAGTGTTGGAAACCTTCCTCTATCTAATGCCACTTAAAAAACATGTTTTTTTTAAGTAAAAATATAAATTTGTGATAAAAGATATTAAATTTTACTCAAGTCTATATTGATGTGAATCTTCATGACAGAGATTAAGATTGAGATAAATCTAAATTAAAAAAAAAATTCTTTTATAAATGAAAAAGTTAATACAATAAAAATGTTATACAATTTGATAAGGTTGAATGTCAAAGATAAAGGCATCTTTTATGTTGGAAGTATAAGTTCATGACACAGCCACCTTGCTCAAGAATAGATCTATTGGGTGTTGTTTCTTTTTTCCATTATATCAAAAGAAAAGCTCCTTCTAACAATTTTCAATTCAGCAGGCTTTGTCTCTCGGAGCAGGCTGCCAAATCAACTCACACAAAGTTCGGTTGTACACAAGCAAACTCTTGTGCATCTTTTCCATTCCTTAGGGGTTAGAAAATAATTCTGGGATAAGGTTGAATTAAAATAATCTAAGCAACGTCTTTGCCTTTCCCGCCCGTTGATTAAAGCCACTAATTAAATCATATATTATCAGAATTAGCTTGCAGGTAACTTTCAGAATATATTCCGAAGAGATATGGCGATGCACTCCTTTAAACTTGACATGTCCAGGTTCGTGCCTACCCTGGACAACACGTCTCGTGATCAACGCTTCTGTCTTCTAAGCCTCACTTCTTGACTGACTGGTAAGAGTTTTGAGTAGACATCATGAATTAATTTGTCTTTGATCTTCTTGTTGTAAGAAGTCGTGGTGTGGCAAGTTGATAACTAACTCCAACAATAATTGAGCTATATATAT